TTGTGATATGGTCGGCGGCCTATGACAGTGTTAGTTGCATTCTATTTTAGAGAATTATATGTCATGTGATGTATTTTGGATATTCCTATGCTATTGGGCTATAATTTGTAGCCTTAGTATGAAATATAAGGAAATTGTTGCAACTATGTGAATAACTCATCGAGATTTGAGATTCTAACATTTAATGTGAATTTAAGAAAAGGGTAATATTTTGGTTTTGCACAAATTTTTATAATTTTTTTCTTTCTCAGTATTTATCTTGATTAAAAAAAAAGTCAGACTCAGGAATTCATGATAGTATACACAGTTTGCACATAAGAAAGAATTTCAAATTATTGCATTTCTTTCCTGAAAATAATAATAATGTGCTTTTTTACACAATATTATGTCATTTTACAATTTCAAGTGCAAAACCTATAATTCAATAGTTTTTGAGAATTATTATTTTGTTAGATATAGAAACCCTAGTGGAAAATATTCTCACTGTATTTTAGCTCACCCCGTCATTTTCAAAAAAAAAATTCCAAATTACGTATAGCATGTGCCAACTGAATTCTGGAATGAACACTTTGCTAAGTGGCATCATAATAGTAGCGAGCTTTCATGTTGTACTTTTTGATCATATAATATAATTTGCTCTAAACTTATATCATCAGCAGCCTATGTTACCCCGACACGTCAATCTTGGTCCCGTACCCGTGTCGGGTACGTATTGGGTGCAGATCCGCACCCAAACGGCAGGGACACGACAAAAAATTCACTCGTGAGGGGAGAAAAAAAACGCACCTGAAATTTAGAAACGGAGGACGAATTGGGCGCTATTTGAGCCCAATAACCCAAGCCCACTTGAAATAACATCCTCTGAAGCGATTATGCATTTACCACCTTCGAACCCATCGACTGAAGCGACGACCCTATACCTCGACGACGAATCCAGTTCCTCAATGACAAAATCAGAGCCTCGACGAAGCAATTTCAGCGCCTCGACGACGAATCCCGCTCCTCGAGCACGAAATCAACTCCTCGACAACGAAATCAAAGCCTCGACGAAGCAATTTCAGCGCCTCGATGACGAGAGAGAAGATGGGGGTTTACTGTTTGGGGATGAGAGAGGACTGAGGAGAATGAGAAATAGAGAGAGAGGGAGGAGACAGCTATAACATAGCTGGTGATTGAATTTCAAAGTGGGGCCTGCTCTTTCTTTCTTTCTTTTGTTCTTTTGGACAACTATAACACCGCAAGGTTTACCGGTTGATATTTGGATTCTGGTTTTAGTTCAGGTGTGCTCTAAGTAGAGGAATGATCGGGAGTGGATTTAAGAGTAAATAAGTGTGAGGATATATAAGATTGGGATTGATCAGGGATTAGTTGTTTGTTACTCTTTCGGATTATTTTCCATTTAAACATTTGCTCTATTTCATTATTCATCCATTAGTGGTAGTAAAGAATTTAGTCATTTCAGCCATTGGATTTTGAAATAGATACTTATTTCGAGTTAACTGAGCTATATTTAGTTTCTTATTTATAATCTCCACTTTACATAACGAAAAATATGAAAATGTAATAGAAATTTAATTCAATATTGATCTAAAGTGAATTATTTTATATATATATAGTCGTGTCCCCGTACCTTACTTTTTACAAATTTGCCGTGTTCCGTAACCGTACTCGTACCTGTACCCGTATCTATGCAACATAGTCAGTAGCTTTATATATTTTGAGAAAAGTTATATGATATGAAGTGTTAGGCTTGATACGTGCATGAAATTTGTCTTTGTGCACGGGTCGCTGCTATCACGTATTTGTATCTATTTTCCACTATAATTTTCGGGGCGTGACAAAAACTAATCTTGATTAACATTAAAATCCAATGAAAAATCCTACGAAAATGAAAATGCTAATACAATCTAAAATCTCATAAATAAATAAAAAACCATTCTAACTCCATTAGTTCAAATCTATTTATCTGCTTCCTACGATACACCGACACGTCTCCAACCCTCCTGTACACATGTACGACAAGTGTCGAGGTCGGGTAAGCATCCGAACTAGCATGGACACGAACGAAGAAACTTCCAGCCCGGATCACCATCTTGGAGGTGGTCACGAACAATTTTCTTGTGTCACTTGCTTCTAACCTTGCGTAGACCCTTACTGTCCTTTTCTTAGCCTAAGATTACGGTTGAAGTGGAGAAATTGAAACCCTACTTTGAGAAATTTGGGAATTTAGGTTCAAAGATGAGTTTTGAACAAAGGAGGACGTTGGGTTTTGAAAGAGATGAATTTGGGATCCATGTCTGTGAAAAAGAGTTTGTAGGTAGGTCAGCCGTTGATGTATACATGGAATCTTGTGTTTTCTTAATCTTGATTAATGAGTTAGCATGACGTTTGGAAATGGGTTGTGCTTTTGAACTGGTTGTAGGCCTGGGCTTGACTCTAAAAAGTAGACTTGTACAAGCAAAACTAGCAGACATGGCCCTGAATCAACCTTGAGAATTAAAAAGTGTCCAATTGTCGGCCAGACTTAAGTTTGGAGATGAGTTATAGTTTTAAATTGTTGTGGGCATGGGTTTCAGCTTGTCTCAAGCAAGTATAATTCTTCCAAAAAAGCAATCAAGGAAGTAGGGAGTTCAATTATGCCTGGGCTTGACTTAATCGTAAGTGTTAGGAATCATCCAATTGTTGCTTATCTTGCATGCAAAATTTTAGATATGTATTTTATTGAAAAAAGATTAATATAGTCGTGTCCCCGTACCCTACTTTTCACATCTTTCTTGTATCCCCTACACTTACCCTCTCCCATACTCATACCCAAGTAATCTAGCCTACTTCAAATATCTTGTGCTTGAAGAAAACTCAACCTCAAGTTTTAAAATTGAACAGGATCTTGAGCTTTGAAATTCTTAAAGCCCCTCGAACCATTATACCAAAACTCCAAAGTTGTGGTGAGGGTTGAGGATTATGATTTTGTATTAATTCTAAAATGCACTCGGGTTCAATTCCTTTTTTATGGGACAAAAGCTAGCTCACACATGGGTGTTAATTTTTAGAAAATCTAATTTAAAATCATGACCATTAGGATTTGAACCTGGATTGCTTTGATACCATCTTAAAGCTCTCAAACCATTACACCAAAACTTTAAAGTTATAGTGAGGATTGAAAATTATAATTTTATATTAATTCCAAAGACATCGATAGCAGATAGCATCGCATACCGATAAGGCTATTTGGGGCTATAGCGGCAAATAGCAACGGAAAGAGCAAACTTAAATAGCAATCCAATTTAAATATATATAAATATTAAAAAAAGAATTAAAGATAAATCTAAAAACACTAATTGCCCATCAATTAATATAATCAGATCATAAGTCAAAAAAATAGAAAAAGCAAGAAATTACCTACCTACTACTCGACGTTGCTCTTGTCGGCATCGATCTTAATGTAGTGGAGATGGCGATGAGGACCGGAGGAGGTAATGGAGTTGCTAAAGTTAAGGAGTTGTTGGTGAAGTTGCAGACATTCAACGATGATCTAGTGGAGTTGAGGCGGTTAGGGTTTTGGCGCAAGAGGTAGTGATTGTGAGTGGCGAGAGGAGATAGTGAAGGGACGAGGTAGTAAGAGTCGGTGGGAAGCAGTTTGAGGTAGTTTGAGGTAATGGCAGACGAGGGAGACTGTTCAGGATTTTGGGGTTTAACAATGAGTCGGGTTGATGCGAGAGTAGAGAGAGCAACAAAATGAGGGAGAGAGAGACGAGAGGGGTTTGGGGTTATTAATTTGTTGTGGGTTGGGTTGGTGCTGGTCTGGTTAGGGATATTGAAAAAACCCAACTCACTTAATTAGCGGTATACAACGGGTAAAAAGCGGATTTTACCTGATATTTATCGCTATCACCTGCTATTGCCCGCTAACGGCTACTATTGCAAGTGAATTACGCACAAAATGCTTTTCGGCAATGCAATTGGCCGAAATCATTGCAAAGGAGCCTGCATCCGCTCTGCAATTGCGACACTATTTGCTGCAATTTATAACAGTGATTAATTCTAGCAGAAATCGAACAAAATTTATATCCCTGATTGTCGATCATGACTTCAATATTAAGCTCTTCATGTCCGACTGTAAAACTTCTTCAGAATCTTAATGTTCATTCATGAATCAAGGATTGTTCTCATACTAAATGATGGAGATTGAATGGATGAAGATTTGTTGAGGATAATTACTTGGATAAATATTTTAAAAAACAAATATTGAAATTGTGCTCATTTAATAAACTAAAAGATCAAATGTTAGGCCTCACACCGGGGCAACTCACATGCCTAGCAACTCACATGCCAAGACAATGCAGCTTGTATGCAGGGTATCTCACATAAGCTGAGTTTTCATCTACTGCTACAAATAACCCATTTATAGGAATAAATTAAGACACAAAAAAATCATAAGGCGATAATAACAAAAAACATCATGATAGATAAAATCAATTAGAATTGCCACTAATCTATTTAAAATTAAACTCCTAAAAAAATTCACACTTCTAACCCCCGCAATTCAAGTCTCTTTTGAACCCAACTAACATTTTTAAGCATGAATTCCAGAAGACTATTTGACAGCATGTGAACATAGAAATCAAGTTTGTTCAAAAACAATTACTTTGATATATTTATAGATAGAATAGATAACCCTTTATACACCTTTCTCAATTGTCTTTTTAGCAAAAGTACCTGCATATCATTGAACAAGGGATAGTCACTTAAATTGCTTAGATCGTCACAACTCACAAGCATATATCTTCAAAATAACATGTGCTCAACAAGATCAAATGACTATATCTAGAAGCAAAAAAAAAAAGCAAAAACAGAAACAGAACCACTACATGTGAACTTGAGCAGAACTAAATCTTGGACATACAATTGTACAACGAAAACAGCTAAAAGAGATACAAAAGAAAGACACCTTGTAGACAAGAAACTTCATGAAAGTTGCACTAGAAGGAAAGAACACAAACCTGAATGGAAATTATGCTCCAATCTTGTAGAATCTTTCCCAGTTTGCGCCGCTGCCATGCAGTGTTTGTACAAAGAATTTTAAGCAAGTTGATCATCAGCTGCATGTTCAAAAACTCATATAAAACATTGCAAAATCCAACAGAACAAAAAATTCTTATGTTTCAGAAGTGATGAAAACTCCTAAGCAAGAAAATAAGAGATACAATATGCCAACCTGGCTTAGCTGCACTACAAATTCCTTCCTCTGAGATCCTTGGTCCATTGAAGTTTCTTTTAGAGCGAAAGCTCTTGAAATCACATCATAAAAGAGGTCCCGCCCATATAGTTTACCATCTTGAACCAACAGAAGCTGTTAAATGAGTTAGCAAGATTCCAGTAAACATGAGGAATAGTTCTAAAGCTTGGACAACTGTTTCCATTAAGCATCCAGATGAAATAAACACAACAATAAAACACATTTCCTCATTTTAACAACTACATGAAACAGATGCTCTCTTATAAGTATTTTTCCCCCCAATAAATCGCTTTATCAAGATATAGAGTAAGACAACACAGTAAATAAACCCCTTTAGCAATTAATGTCTTGGTTTTTAGCTATCTGTCCCGAGCCACGATAGAAGAGAGTGGCTGCTTATATATCCTCAGGCAATAAGAAAAGTAGGTCAAATCTCCATGAAATAAATCCTAAGGGAAGCACATAACAAAGAAATCTAGAGAAACTCTCAACAGAACTGAATGAATAAAGAAAGGACTGACACAACTAGCCCCAATATTGTTTAAAAGCGTATTTACTACGGACATTTCCTCACTGAATGAAACATGCAGTGGACTTCCAAGATGCGTGAAATATATATCAAAGGTCCCAAGCATGTTGTCTCTTAGAGTACCCATATAGTGACACTCTACAAATGTTAAGTATGTATTAGTTAAATGATAATTTTGGAAACTTTCCTCATATTAGACCTCTTAATGATAATTTGTAGAAAAAAAAGTTGTTTAATTTAAGTGGAATAAAGAGTATCATATATTGAACTTAAAGTTTGAATGGATTAGTTTTCCAAACAAAAAGCTGATCGTGACACATTTTGTTTACCTCAAAATCTTGGTATTTTATAATGAAGCACAATTACGAGACTATCTTAAATATTGATGGCTGAAAAGCCCTCAAAACACACTAAGCTGCTTTGCTTATTGTTTTTGTAGTGTTTCACTCATGAATCCATTTCATTTAAAAGAAAGGTCCTTTATGAACTTGACCATGAGGAGTGGACAACAGACAGGAGGCAACAAAAGCATAAAGTCAGGCAAAGGCAACATTAGTCCTACGGTTCTGTTTTCACCCCAAGATGGAAAGGAAGGATCATTAATCCAGTGCACCGCCAAGGCTAGAGTAGGGCTTTTTTGTAACTCCAGATAATCAAAAGCTGCATGCTAACTTTACATTATACTTGATGTCAAGCCTAAAGAGCTTGCCTATTTTACCTCAAAGCTATTATCAGATTCACTTATACTTGTTAAGAAAACTAAGGCGGCCTGCTGGTCTTGGTTATTGACCATGTCCACGACTCCACATCAACCTGCAAAATAAAGAGGACACCACCTGGGTTTCCCCCCTTTCATTGCTTGTTGCAGTTCGGTGCTTCCTGTTCAAGGGGGAAACTTATCTGCTTGGCCTAAGCCTCTTCTACTTTGAGTATGTATGCTTCTGTGAGTACTTCCAAGTTAAAATCATGGAATGCCTCACTGTCATTCTTTTTTCAAAGTAGGACTGTTGTGTCTTGCTTCAGCACCTATTTTCTTTTTACCAATAGAGGATCAAGCACACATTAGAAAATCTATACCCTGTACAAAACTTATAAACCCTCTAGTGGGTTATTAGCACCAGACACTTGGGTAGGGATTCAATGAAAATGTCCACTTTGTATTTTTGTAAGTGCTCATGAACCGAAGGGGTGTCAGGTGATATTGTGATAATAATTCACTTTAAGGATATAAATGAAACAGAAAAAATGAAAGGTGTAATATGCAATTAATCCTAAGATTAAAATCTTCTATATTATGCCGGTTATACAGATTGAAAGGTGTCATATGTAATTAAGAATTAATTCTAATCTTAATTAAAGAATCCACAGACTTCAGGGATCACAGAATCTTATTCCAAACTACGTTGCATGGACATAGCCACGCCAAGAACACATGAAAAATCCAGGGAAAAAAACAAGTGATATGCATGACTCAACAGAACTTTTTAGGATAGCCATGATTTGTGTAAGTGGAAATACTGCACCCTAGAAGGTGTTATACCTTGTTCGACAAGCTTTAACTACATGATTAACAATGTACGTTAGCAATCAGCCAATTAGGTTTTTAGGTTTTATGGCAAGCTGCTATCTCAAATGATTGGCCAAATCTGGCATGAAGTAAGAAGCCTAAGATCATACAAAGCTTGACACGATTTCGATAACCAGTCACAACATTCAGTCTCCGTGGGAAAAATTACATTGGAAAAAAAAAAGCATGACATAAGAGCAATATATTAGAAGAGTTGCATGTATGATATAACCATCTTAGCTTCGGTCACAGGCTCACAGCAACAATTCCCTGATGGCCTATGACTTATTATGACATTCCGATGGGAAATTTTTTTTAACAAAGGTTCCTACAATAATACCGATACATAATACATTCGGAATTGTCATAATTGACTAAAATAGTGAGCTCCACTATTCAACTATTACTACACAATGTTTCTTTGAAGTATTGCTAAGGAGAGGTGAGATTTAACGAGCACATCCCCTTCAATATTAAGTCAATTAGTAAATGAATGTTTACATTTAATTTAACTTTGAAAGAACTTGAGATATAGTGAACTCATGCAAGGTTAAAATAAGAAGAAAATGACTTAAAGAATAAAGATTTTGGAAATAACATATTTGTAAGGATAAATTTCATATAACCCCTCATCTATACCTTCAGTAGCACTTATCGCCCCTTAATTATTTTAGTAGCTCTTTACACCCCCTTGACCCCTTCATTCACATTATTCACATTTTAAAAAGGATAAATTTGCAGATAAGCTTCCGCTCCCTTGTGAATCCAGGGTGATGTATCACACCCCCAACGTCCTGAATAGGTTCGGATCTTGGATTTGAGCTCAAATTAGAAATCTAAAAATAAAACTCATATAAAAGTTGATAAGGACTAAACAAATCATATTACACCTACAGTGTTCGTTGATTTCTACTCTTAATATCAAAAATACCTATTAAGGTTGATCTCCTCAAAAGTCTCCTTAGTCTAACAGATCTTTTCTCCTTAGTCTAACACATCATAATTAATTTAGAATTATTATTATAATACATCTCCAATACAAGGGGTTGTTGGCTTTTTTTTAAAATACTTGTAGATGGCCTTGGTGGCTACCCTAGTTGATTGTGATGGATCAAGATTTAAGATAAATTGAGGCTTTAATGGATAAGGTGATGGACCACTTAGCTTAATTCTAGAGCTTTCCACAAACGACTAAATAGTTGGTATTTATCCACTTGACTCTAGACTGCACCGAATTGCACAAACTCAGGGATCGAACCTCGTCGGATTTTGGGGCTGTGACAAACTTAAGTGTTACTGAAATAGTTGATGAGTGATACATGCTAGTGAAGGTATAAATGAGAGGGGTTACATGCAATAGTTGTAAAGGGTTTTGACAGAAGCATCTATAAATCAGAGCAAAAGTTTTATTAAATATTATATATCATTGCAAGGACAATCCATGGAAAAGTAAGTTTTGTTTTAATTCACAGTTTTAAAAAATTGTGAACATCTCTTTGTATTTAAACTATGTTATCAGGTAGTACTAGAAAAAAATCTATCTCGATATATATGTTATTCAAGCTTGGTTGGATACGACTCTATATACTGAAATTAATACTTTTACAAGAGATTGATTTTGTTTCTTCATCACATGTTAATTAAAATTCCTTCAACATTTTTATGTTTCATTTATTAAGTAGATTATAAATTAAAAATTTGCTCGATGTTTAACTAGATACCTAAGTGACCCTTTATAATCGTACTTCTGAACTTCGTACGGGCTGAAACCTAAGTTGCATGGAAACAGGTACGGGTACCGGTTTAGGTGCAGGACACGGCAAAAGTTATAAAATGTTGGGTATGGGGACACAACTACATAAATATGTTGAAGTTAATAATTTACATGAAACCATTATAGTTTTCAATCCAAGTTAATAGAATTGAAATTCCTACAACATTTTAAGTTCCTTTTATTATGTTTATTATTGTAAACCGGAAAGTGCTTGTTTTTAAACTAGACACTCAAACGACCATTTTAAATCATAGTTTTGAACTTGGCTATGGGCTGAAACAAACCCAACCAATGACTGACAACTTTAAGAACTGGATAGGAAGTGTAGGAAATACGTTCAAAAAATGTATGACGAGTTTTAAATTAAAAGATATATCATAAAATTGAGAAAACATTGAATAAATGTATGTATATATCCAAGGAGTGTTCATGAAGTTTCAGTATGGGTATGTCCATGAAGTAAACATTGAATAAATGTATGTATTTATGCAAGGTATGTCTTGGACATGCGTCGGATACGAGCACAGGCACAGCTTCATAATAGAAGTACCCGGGTAACATATGCTGAAACGAACTCAGCCCATGTCCAACGAGTTGCAGGAAGTGGACATAGAGTATAGGATATATGTCCAAGTAGAGGTGAAGATGAATCAAGTAATTATTAAATAGTTCATTAATTATTCCTAACTATTCAGTTATGCTCAACGTGGTAGTTCATTTAACAGTAAACAAATAGGTTTTAGTATTGTGCTCATAAACAAATAGAATTTAAGTAGATGTATATTCCATTTGTTTTATTATCAAATAAACTTTTACAGTTTCGTCCCTTACAATTTGTACTATTACATGTGTAAAACCCCGTAAATTTTAAAAATATTGTGATTAACGATGATAAATACTTTTAATATAATAAATATCATTTATTGATGAATGAGTATGTTAGTAATCGATTTGAGATCAAATTAATACGAATATGAGAGGATACAAGTGTTAAACGTGCACAAAACGAGTGAAAACATGCACAACCTGTAAACAGTTTGGGTTTCTGTTCGGTCGACTGATGCTTGCAATCAGTCGACCGACGGGAACTTATCAGTACCATCAGTCGACCAACGGGCTGTTTTCCTGATGTGAGTTGGTTTCGGGTTTATTTGTTTTGTTTCGGGTTTGTTGGTATATATATGAGCATATACACCCGAAAATCCTCTTTTACATCATATTTCTAAACCCTAGCAGTCACCCTCTTCCCTCAAAATCCTAGATATTATTTTTGGTGAATTTTGAGAGCTTTGTGAAGCAAATACCGAAAAGAGGGCGAGACCGTCGGCGTTTGGCGAGGGAGTACATGTTTCCTTGCACTCTTGGGGATTCCTACACGTGTTGAAGCGAGTTTCATCTCCTCCAATCCGATCCCCGTTTTTATTTGGTTTTTATTGAGTTTTATTTTGTTTTATTGAACCTTAAAGGCTAGTTTACGCGTAAAGATTGTTCTTTTAAATTATATGACACAAAGATTCGATCTTTTGGTTTTCAGAAGTTATAAATGAATTCTCTGATTTGGAGTTTAGATCTGAAATAAATTTTAATATGAGATTTTGTCGAGATTTATGGTTTTCATAATGATTCTTACAAACATGACTATGTTAGGGTTAATATAATTCTCTTAAGTAATAATAATTATTTTTATGTAGATATATGAACATTGATCATGTTAAACAAGATTTATACATGTATTTGTTGAGAAAAAATTCAAATTTTTATCTCACGAACAACCCTTAAAACCGATTTGCTATAGCATCGGTCGACCGATCGGCATGATCAGTCGACCGACGATTTGCTATAGCGTCGATCGACCGATCGGCATGATCAGTCGACTGAGCCCCTCCTTCGTCTTTCAACTTTCAGCTGGCTAGTCGACCGACGAGGTACTTCAGTCGACCGGCCACTACACATTTACATGCACAGTTTGTGCATGTCGTCGCCAGTCAACCGATGTGGGCTTCGGTCAACTGAGCAGTGTTATTTTGCGTATTTATTTTTGGACTCATGAGTTCACAAGATTTGAGTCCGCACATCGAGACACATTCTTGACCATTGGATAACACATATTTGGATGCATTCATACGAGTATTTGGAGGTACGTAACACATAGTTTTAGTTATCATATTAAAGGATGGCATATATATTACACTCAGGGTGGCTAGCTGATATGTTGCAATGAGACCGCAATAGACTACACCCCGTTGTGCATTATTATTTTCGAAATAGGATGATATGCCTATCTCCGTATAGCGATTGAGTAAGGTGGTTGTTGCCACAGGATATTGTGAGCGTCTTACAAAAGTATCGTTGTTTCAGATAGAGAATTTCACAGAATTCATTCATGCTTCCATGTTAGTTACCCGAGAGTAGGGTAAAATATTAAGGTTGTCCTACACCACATATTTCATGTGAGCTTCATTTTACCGTATGTTTATTCTTGTGATTGCGTTATCTACCCGAGGGTAGTGTGAGAATTTTGACATCGACTTGTTGGTTGAGGTCTGGAGCTGTATTGTATTTTATTTATTGTTTGTTTTATTCTTAGGATTTTGGAGTTGGGATTTAGTGGTTCACAATTTGAGACACGGTATATACATGAGGGTTTCTTGTTTAAATTATTTTCCTCGACGTACTAATTCTCGTGTTGCGAATTTCTAAATCTTAATTTTCACTTAGTTTAGGATAGATGATTTTATATCTATATGTACTAACTTGTATTTTCTTATATACTCCTAACCCCTTCCCCCTGGGAGCAGTGGAAATGATCTCGCTAACGCTTTGATGCTTGTTGTTTTTCCTCTTTTCAGGCAGCGAGTCAGACGCACGGAGAGTCGCAGGTTGATGGAGTTTCGACTTAGCGTCCATCATTATTTATATTAGCAGTTTATTTCATGCTCTACAGTAGTTAGTGTTTATTTTCAAACATTTAGAGTTATACATCATTTTGAAAAGGTTGTGTGTCTTAGTACTTTATTCAGTTGACTCTATGTATCGAGATATTTTAAATTTGATTCAGTTTATCAGTTGTACTTTATTTTATTCAGTTGAAAAATGATTATGATTATTTAGATATCTCTTCCTTTTATCATGTTCATTGTACTAGTTTCTATATTCTAATTGCTTTGTACCTTCACTTATTTATTGTTGAATCCACTAGAGAGATACTACTGTGATGGTGAAACGTGTTGTTGCACAGTGTTGGTACATGACAGATTTAACATCCTTGGGTTCACCTTGGACTGCAGCCTTGTGTAAAACCAGGGGCGTTACAACATGCATTATATTATGTTTTTGATTCATCTACATCGTGTAATTAAAATTTTATATCAATTTTAATTGCCTTAAAGAGTAGCATGTCAGTTTTAAAACAAAATTTCTTTAACTAAATAAAAGTATATTCTTAACTACATAGTTTTATATTCATAAACTATAAATTTTTAATGAAATAAACATATAGTCATATTCGATAAACATTTGCAAATATTTGAAAAGTATTTGCATTGGAATTCAAATTTGAAAAAAAATTTAGAAAATGATATTTGAATTTGTATCCAAGTTCACAAATTTAAACGGATACAAATACGAACACTGAGATATTCAAATCGATTAGATTCATTTCAGCCATACGTCCAAGAAGTGTATGACAAATGTTTTAAACTATAACATTTATTATACATTAGAGTACATGCCTTAATAAATGTATGCATATTTAAGGAGCATCCAAGGAATGTCGGAATGGGACACATGTTGGACACAGGTATGGGAGCCCAGATAAGGTGTCAAGGTAACATAGCTTCTAATACTAATAGTATAAGAACAGAGGATATGAATTTCAGTTCTCTTTTTCTGTTGATTGATTTTCTTAAATGGAAACATAACTGCACAAATTTAGAGACGGCAAATAATCAGCGAAAAATATTTGGAGCAATAAATAACAAGCTTAAGTGGTAATAGTATGATAACGAACATGAGAAAGCAAATGATGACACATTAAGCATTTGGAATAGACCTGCAGATAAGCTCTAGCAACCAGATCTGGTTTTCTCTTTTGGAATTGAACAACAGATTGCAGAACAGCATCCAGCATTGGATCCAGAGATAAAGAGCAAATGACATCTAAATCATGAAGTAGCTTGTCAAAATATTCAATAGCCTGCGAGTTTACAATGATTGCCTAGTCAATAGCTGACAACAAAATGTTTTCTCCAAAACTGCACCTATAACAGATATAAATATCTATCATTACTGAAATTGAAGGACATCTCTTTTAAAGAACCAGAAAATGAATGAAAGTCGTGAATTGATATCAAACCTTTCCCCAGCTGAGAAGCTTGATTGAACGAGGTGGGGTTGGTGCAGACAATCTACTATTTAGGCTAACATCAAAGCCAACAGGCTGGCAACCTGAGGCAGTAGTCCCATCTTGAATGGTAGCTTGCGCAGGTTCACTTGCATTAGACCTAAGGAACTCCACTGACTTGGACATGCAAGCGAGCTCACACAGGCATGAGGCCACATGTTTCCTAGCCAACTCCAAACCTTTTCCTTGAGGTTTCCTCATACACATGAGAACATGATAGAAGTGCTGTATACAACTGAAATAGTCAGCTTATATTTGGCTAGAAAGCACTCCATCCAAAACTATGGGGGAAACATCAAGCAGCAGAAATGGTTCGCTACATTCAAAATCTTTAAAAACAATATGCAGTGAATTGGTTTTTAAGACACTAAAAAGTAGAATATACCAGTTGGGTAACTGCTAAGGTGGCTCACCATCAACACCGCGGGTTAAGTACATCATGTACTAATCCGCAAGAAGAAAACCCTTTTTCAATTAAGGTACAAGAAATTAAATGCCAACATTTCATGAAAACACTAAGTATCTTCTACTGAAGAACAGATCAGATTAAGAAATATGACAATATTTGGCTGGGAAGTGTCAGGCTAAGTCCAGCCAACCCGAAAATCAACCTGGACATTGTTGAGCAAGTAGTTGAAGTTTACCCAACAACAATAGATGCCAGGGGTAATAACTATGTACAAACTAATAACCACGATATGTCATTACCCTAGCATATCCAATCATTTCCCAGGAAGTAGATGTTTTCTGGTTCTATGACTGGAGAAACTTGGATGCAACTCATGACTAGAAATACAGTGGGATAAAGAAATGCCTCAGGCCAGATGAATGCAATGAAAAAATGACAGTACTAGAAAGAGTCGTACATGCAAGAAAAGAAGAAGTGAGACCTAAAAGTTGCTATGACTGCTATTTCTGGTTAAAGAATCTCTTTCTAGTTGCTCTGGAACAATTAGGGGATTCTCTGGAAGAAATACGGGGTGGTGGCAACATGCTATTGGGTGGTGGTCCCGCTTATGGGGTCAAATCAATACGTTCTAAGAATTGACTTTTCCTTTCTTCTATGTTTATTATTTCAATATATTATGAACAGAATCGATGTTTAAATATCCTAACAGTGAGACATTCTCTAACCCTGAAGACTCGAAAGATTTTTTTATAGTATAAAGAAAACATGATTTACTTGTTCAATCAATAGTCCTGCAACATGAGCCTAAGGTTACTGCATGCATCTGACTAGACTTCATCCACAAGGCAAGCTGAGTATGCATAATACCTGTAGCCACTATATAATCCTACTTTTCTATTCATTATCCCCTCCCTATTTGCTTAAAATTGGTAAAGGCAGGCCAATAATATATGAAACATAGAAGTAGATGAATGAATCATTCTCACATATTCTTACTTCTAATGATGCATGTCTTCAAGAGGAAATAAAGAACATTTTTTCAGAACATATCTGAGTCGAACTTGTTAATAAGTAAATAGGAAACATGGAGGCAAGACCTTACGAAAGCGTAAACGGCACAAGAGAGCTTTACAATAACCTTCTTCCAACTCAGGCTTGGTCTGAAGAGAATCAATATCTGCAGTGATAAATACATATATTACAAAGTGTATTTTACTCAGTGACAGTCATAAGCGGCAGAGTGTACTTCATCACACAATGGAAAGTGAAGAAAGAAAGGAAACGAGAGCAAACCTTAAATTAAAAAAATGAACATTTCATGTTTTTATAAAGTTGAAGTTTTTATCAATGTTTTAAATGTCGGATGTCGGGTTCATGTCGGTCGGCCAAAATTCATGTCGGATAGCGGAAATCGGGGATATATCGGGGGACATGAAAATAATATCGGATTGCCATATCGGATAGGTTGATATAATATCATAAATGGAATCTTCACATACTTGATAATTATATTGTCTAAACATATGAAAAAGTACATAACTTATTGATGTTAGGATCACTAACCAATTGTAGACACCTGATTTCCGAGTCGGGTTTTTCAAACTTGCCATATCGGCCGCCATGTCCGACATGGCGGCCGATATTTGAAACATTGGTTTTTATAACAAATAAGGTTTGCATAACCATAATTTTGACTATTTTGCATCAAATGCAATCAATGGTCCCTATCTGAAGAGAATCAATATCTGCAGTGATAAATACATATATTACAAAGTGCATATTACTCAAGTGACAGTCATAAGCGGCGCAGTGTATTTCATCACACAATGGAAAGTGAAGAAAGAAAGGAAACGAGAGCAAAATTTAAATTAAAAAATGAACATTTTATGTGTTTATAAAGTTGAAGTTTTTGTAACAAATAAGGTTTGCATAACCATAATTTTGACTATTTTGCATCAAATGCAATCAATGGTCCCTATCATAGCATACAGGGTTTACAATGATACTACGTAAAAAGTGCTTTCACATAAAACCTTCATGTCTAAAGGCTTGTGAATATTTACAGGTTACAGCATATAATCCGACAAGTTCCCTTTCTAAATCCTTTGATGTAAGAGCATATGGAATGTGAAGGAAAAGTATCATTGCATCAACCAAGTGGAGAAGGACAAGTTCACTTAAAAATTCTTTAATGTGATAGCATACAGCATACAAAAAAAATGAGGTGGTCCATAGAATCAAACCATTATCTAGGTTTCTCGAGTCTAAAGAAACATGAGTACTTTTCTTTATCGTTATTTGTGCCCTACATATTAACATGTTCTCCCATGGCAAACCTAATTGTTTTTTATATAATCATCTAGATTTTTTCTGATATTTCAGATCTCAGGCAACTCCTTAATGAGTTTAGAATTGTATGACTGATTTGGTGGCCTTTCCTTCAAGACAACTGGCATTTAGGGTTGTGCCAAGCCTGTCTCTTGCTGTAATTGCCTTGACAGGAAGCATGCATGATGCAACAAACAATAGACAATGACTATTTATCTGACACCTGATCAAAAAGTTGGCTTGGTTCTCTGTTAAGGTTATTGATGTTGAGTAGCCTCCTGTAAGACAAATGTGAAGAAAAGCACAAGAATAATGATTGATCTTCTTCAAATCTGGGTTTATGGTAAGGTTGGTTTTACACTTATTTTCTTATGAAGCTCATGGGGATATGATTCTTTTTTCCAGAAAACTTAATTAATTAATTAGCTTGTTGTAAAAAAAAGTCATTCAATAGCCAATTCTACACATTATGACTAACATATTTGGTAGAAAACTTGACCAGAAGCTTGCACCAAACAATAGATGATGAATAGTTAGCCAACAGCAAATCACAAAATTTGGTCGGTTCTCTGTGGAGGTTATTGATGTTGAGTCGCGTCCAGTAAGATAAATGTGAAGAAAAATAATAGAAGAATGATTATCTTCTTGGAATTCTAGATTTATGGTAAGGGTGGTTTTCCAATTAGTTTGTAGAAAACTCAAAGAATATGAATTTTTTGAAAACTTAAATTAGTTAGCTTGACGGAAAAAAAAAGCGTCCTGTTAAATTGATTTCTTACAAACAAGGAAAAGGATGAAATATGGCTTAGAATAGAGGCAAGCGTTTATTGGACACTATCGTTTATGTGCTTCTTAAATGCAATTTGGCAAGGTATAGCTCCAAACTGCCAAGGCACCCAGATACCCATTTGTAAGGCTTGCACCTCATATGAGTACTAGATACTTATGTTAGATTTTTGGTAAAATCAGATTAATGGCAAATAAAACAACATTATGAGATTAATCGATAGAATAGCAAGACAGAATATTCTTATGCTTGTTTAGAGAATTGCTTCTAGGCCCCTGGCTTTTGAAAAATGTGCTACCTCCCCCAAGAAACCTCTTTTCCTTTCACCTCTAGGACACAACCCATACGATTCATAGAAAACCCCAAATTACCTTGTTTTCTACCTTTTCATCTTCTCTATACTTTCTCTCACCTGTTACATGAGCCCATCAAATCATAACCCCATTGCATGCTTAATATCAACCTCTCACTGCCTCTGCCACCTCTCTTCATTGTCACTTCACTGTAAGATGCCCTCAGTTGCCTCCCTTTGAGAGGCTCAAAGAGAGTGGCAGGTGACGGAAGAGAGGTTGATGTTCAGGTGGCCAGCATCAGCAAAATTCCACTAAACGTTAACAATTCATAACTAAAGGTGACAAATTTCGACACCAAATAACAAATACTAACTGAATGTGAAAAAAATGCCAAAAGTAACATGTAAAACACAAAAATAACAACCTATATCTAACGGTGAAAAGTTCAAAACAAGTAGACTCAAAGGTAACAAGTAATAGCTAAAAGTGACAACTGGACACAAATGCAATAAATAATAGCTTAATGTGACAAAATTATGCTAAAAGTAACAAGTTGACACAAAGGGACAACTAATAGCTAGAGGTGGTGAAATCAGCCCGCCTCCTTGCCACCAACCTCCCCTCCACTGCCATCTATCTTCTTGTCAACCTACGAATCCCACATTGCCCTACTCTTGAGGGCAGCAGCGGAGGGAGGTGGTAGCAGTAACGGAGGAAGGGACAAGTGGCAATGGCGGCAGAGAGGTTGGCGGCGAAGAAGAAGAGATAGTGTTTGAGAGAGGAGAGAGGGTTCATGGGTTCATGAGGAGATGGGAGATAGAGAGAGAGGTTGAGGTTGATGACGTGGTGAGAGTAGTTTCGGGATATTCAAAATTTCATGTGAGGACAAGGAGTAGAAGGTTTTATTTGTTTTCTTAGTGGGAAGAAGCATGTTTAAAGACAAGGGGGGTGGAAGAAATTTTCATAAAAAAAAAAGAATTATCAATGATATGCTTTTGTTAACTGGCATATAGAGTTAACTTAAAGGCTTTTTCATAATGATTGCAGCAATTGTAAGGACATATGGGATTAACTTTTATCATCAATATCTACAAAATCTTCCCAGCTTCAAAATCGTAAAATATTGAATATACCATCTAAAGACTTCTTCCTGGATGAGTGGCCTTTACAAGAGCGCAATTGCCGAGAAATTGTTTCCTCTACCGCATTTAGAATTGATAGGCATTTGTCGTCCCCATCCCCGTTCAGAGGCAAGCCAAAAGCCATTGTAAAAAGATCTTCTTCCTGTGACAAGAAGTCAAAAATTCCACACTAATACAAATATTCTTTTGAATAGGTAACCCAGAAACAAAATGTCGAGAAATAAAATTGTAAAAGTACACTTGGAACAGCCTTCAGTTGCGTCAGATTGATTTATTAATAAAAGAATACAAGATCAAGAAAGAACTTATCAGGATATGTATGCAGTAAATTAAAGCAGAAGCATGGCAACAAGATTACAGTATTATGAAACAAGCACTTCCCACGGGTGATTCTGTTTAGGATCCTCAAATGCAATGGACAGTACTCTATGCTTATATTGAAGATTGACATGGGGCAAGCTTTGAGATAAGAGTGATTTAAATCTGTAGTTAAAGAAGCATAGCTGTTCTCATTCATTACCAAGTCGTCCTTGGCATGGATGAAATTCTTCTTTGATTGTTCTGAACTTTTTATGCTAACCATTCAATTATACTTTTGCCCATCTTGAAAAAAAGATTATTTTCAAAAATTTCATGCATAACCCTTTGATTATAATTTTGGTACTTAAAACTTATAAAAAGGAAATTTATATTGATCACTCCACCGACAATTTGCATTACCTCTTTTACAGGCAGAAGAGAAACAAAGGTTTACATGTATGCCCCAAAAACAATAGTCTGCAGAGAGTTTTAACAACAAAGAAACCAACATTCTCAGGTTCTACATTACCAAAGGAAACAATGAGACCAATGTTAAATAAAATATCACTTGCTTTGATTTGCATCATACACATTTAAAATTTCTTTAGGAAAAAGGTACAAGATCAAAGTTTATATTACATATTGTGTGTTTTGTGTGTATCTTCATTTTAATACGACTTATCAGTCGCTTTCTTTTTTTTCTTGTTTTGCACGATAATTACTCATTGCCTTTTGACAAATCCCACTACTGCAAAATTGATCACAACTTTTTTATAGATTGACCTTAAATTCTTAAAAACAATTATATTCCCACATTATCAAGTGAAATATTAAATTGAAAACTCAAGTGAAAGTTTTGTTGGGTATCATTCTGACAATGTTAAAAAATTTAAATTATATGAGAATTTTTTCTTTAATTTTATGAGAATATGATGGGTTTCAAACACAGACATCTAATCTTTTTGGCAGATTGCACAACAAAATTTTAGTACAAGAAACAATAGCGAAACAATTGTGTAATGGAAAAATAATTTAATCACATGTAGCACTCCTCAAAAATTGCTTGCTTAATTTCACAATCATTAAATTCAAAACCAAGGGGCTGTTAGTCAATCAGAATTTCCAAGTACAATTGGGATACTTGTTCAAGTGAGATAATTTCATTCGAGTGGTATATTTCAATGGGATAATGGTGGATAATTTTTTAGAAGTAGGATATTTTGATAAAATGACGGATAATTTGGAGTAATTAGAAAGTATATATTAGTATTTTGATGATATGGCACCTTAATTTATATATATTTTTGAAGCTTATAAATATTATTTGATAATTATATAAAGTAATATTACATAAAAAGTAAATATTAGTGAAAATATATCTAACCTTATTGTCAATACTTATTATTATCAATGATCATGTAAAATGAACTATTCTAGTAACAATCATGAAGTGTGTAAATTAATAGAGCAACATCCTTGATCATCACAAATACTGAAGCACAAATTAATTTCAATCATATATAATCATGTATTCTAGCTTTAAGTCCTAATTTCCCAAAGCAATATCAAGTTTCTGATCTCATCATTAACCTTTCATCTCCATCTTTTCCCATTCATACTAATCGAATTTGATGCACTTGTTCCAAACGCATTACTTATTTACTAAAACTTCTCACAAAATATTGTTGACTCTAGGTAAATATTTATTATTCAGTGTAAGTTACGCGTATACATAAAAGGTTACTTATTCTAAACATTACTTATTCAAATTTTTCTATATGCACCACAGGTGCTATTTGTATGCATTTACAATATATAATAATCCATAATGTATTAAAAACAATCATTTTTTTGGACTCCACCATCAATAATCTTTCCACAATTCAAAAAGTTATAGTTTGTTCTCATCTAGTCCCAAGTTGAAAAGTGGGATAATTTTGGGGAGGAAAACTCATGTGTTTCTATATAGATTGAAGAATTAGTGGGATATTTTAAAATTACCCCAATTTCAGTTCTAATTGACTAACACCAAAAAATTTATCTAAAAATTATCTCAATTCTACACTTGCAGTGCCCTAATTGACTGAACCCCCCCCCACCCCCCACCCCGAAGTATTTTCTTAGACGAATTGATAACATAATTGTACAGGGTGTACTAATTTGCACCAAGCAGAATGATGAAACTTTTGATATTTTTAAATATTAATTTCTATGAGCATGCAAACTTGTATTAGGGTGATGATACACATCATGTATCCATGGTGCATAGACGTGGATTAATGGTAGCAGATTACATGAAACAGTCAAATTTATTATTTTTTTCCTCAGCCAATAGAAAGGGGCGGTCCAGTGGCCAAACGTCTATTTAGCATTTTTTAAGCCTTAGATTGTGTATTCCCCTGCCTGCAGGTTCTGGCTCTGCCCTTGAGCCAAGCACTGACAACTTCTTCGCCAATGAAGAATCCTTATCAAAAGCATCCACCTGGAAATTTTGTTTGCATGAACATACCTCGTGGGTACGTGCACCAGAGACTGCAGACACAACCGCATTGCAGGTAGCACGGATTATTCTGCAGTAGGAATGTAGCACGGCATGTGACGATGTTCTTTCAAGCCTCAGAAGATAGATGCACGAAAAGACTGTCTGTGCAAGTGAATGGCCCTTATGCCATGTTGCCTGTGAACATCAAACTAGTGGTGAAAATAAAAATATCTTGTTTTAATAGAGAAAAGAAACATAAAAGTACTGTTTGTGATACCTCACATGCTAGAAGGTGATCCATGACATCAATGCAACGCTGAACATCAATAGTTCTGTCCAAGCTAAGAGGAATAGGAGCGACTCCATTCTCAATTGCTTCTTCAATAGAGTGATAGCTACTATTTTCAATTCCGGAATCCATCTTTGGGTCCATTATCTACATCATTAGAAAATTTATAGGGTAGCTATTGCATGTCCAAAGAAACTTATTAAACTGTTTCAAATAAAAAAAATCACACCTAGAGGACTAAATACCCAGACATGAAGAGGAAATTAAGCAGCAACAGTGTAAAAAATCACCTAGAGGACTAAATACCCAAACATGTAGAGTAAATTAAGCAGCAACAGTGTGAAACAAAGTGAATGATGGGATGATCATCATCTAAGAATTTTCCCATCAAAATGTACTAAGGTCAACTAGATGACTAAAGAATAAACCTTAGCTGACTTTATAAGAATCTTCATGCAAGCATTCGTTCACATCCACACTGCACTCAGCACATGCATGCATCTCAACATTCACATATCAACTAGATTTCTTCTACATGTTTAATTTCCAGCATTCTGAGGGGGGAAAAGCAGAGTTCCTTAAACCCATCCAATTTCCAAATTGATAATAAGGAGGCTACAAACCACTTCTTTGTTTCAGCACTTTTTCCACCTCGTTAATTAAATTTTCCAACTATTACCTAGTAACTGGAAATGAAGAATCAAACAAGGTTCAGCAAAGAAAATTATGTTACCTACAGAATGACTTTTACTACCTTCCATCAACAAACTTAAGGTTGTTGGCAAGAGAGTGAAGCAACAAAAAGAACAGCTTTAGGACTATGTGGGAAATAGGTAACCAGTCAAAACATCTAAACTAAACATAGATTTATGAATTACTTAAGATCAAAAACTGATATGCAGGTTTTTACAGAAAAAGCATTAATGACGCCTAAAATCTTTTAAGAAAACGAGAAGTTTGATTGTTTCTGTTTATTGTTAAGGAAGTTAATAGAAATGGATAAGTTAAAAAGAAAGTAATTTTCCGCTTTTGGCAAAGTTGTTTTTATATTTGTTTGACCTCTTAGAGACTTCCAAATAGTTGTTTACCTAAAAATGTAATTCAAAACATATCATTTGCACTGTTAATGGTTTTCACAAAAAGTCACTGGGAAAATTATTCTTGTTTACATATGAGGAAAATGCTAATAAATGGGTTTACAAGGAGGTTAAATGCAGGAAACAAAGGAAAATCTGGAAATAGAAACGGCACACCGAACTCTCATGTAAGACAGTAATTTTTCTCTATATCAATCCAATGTTGTAAAAAATCTCCGCCTAGTCCGTCTAGGCGTACGCCTAGGCCTATGCAGTACCTTGGCCGCCTATCTAGCGCCTAGCGTATAGGCAGTACATAAGTTGTCCACCTATATTTTGGGAACTCTAAGAGAGCGTGGTCTGCCTATATGGACTACACTCTTTAAGCATTGATCATGATTTCCTTCAGTGTAGCCTCCATGTCCTCCAAACTCCTACTATGAACGCATTCTTTACCTCTTCCGACCTTGGAACAAAACATCCTCCACCACCACTTAAGAAATCTACCTAGGCGTTACTCCAACGCCTAAGCTTTCTATAACATTGACATTTACTATTAATAATCATAATTAAAAACTAAAAAATAGAAAAACACCTAAGCCCTGCCTAGGCGACCGCCTAGGAGCCTAGGCTCTAGGCGTTGGACCTAGACGTCAGGTCTAATGCCTAGACCGCCTAGCGTTTTCTATAACCTTGTATGAATCTTTTTTATTTTATTTACGCAACAGCTGAATCTCTAGTACAGAATGCTAGCTTTGTATCTTTAACATAACTTCCAGAAGTAAAATTTACTGTTAAAAGAGTAGTAGATAAGGTAGTATGGAACACAAAAATGATGTCAAAATAATTTCACCAGGGTAATGAACGGACAAATGTATCAAGCAATCTTAATGCTTAACACTTTTTGGCCAAAAGCAAGGCCTCCAACAGACAACTCACTTAGAAACGCAAAACTAGGAAGAATAACGATAGGTTAAATTGACATGAGATCCAAACCCAAGAGCCTCTTGAAAGCTAAAACCTTGTGTGATCTAATATCACATCAAATGACCCACTTTACCAGAAACCACAAATGGATATTTATTGAGCAACTAATGTAGACCAAGCAATCTAAACACTTAACACATTAAAATCCCTTTTTTCCTTGTGATATTCATTATCATGTGTGGTTTATTTCAAAAAATAACAAAGAATGTGCAGCAGGAAAAAATGCATCCTAAATTTATATAAAAAAAATTAGGAAGCTAAATAAGATAATTAATTTAAAAAAAGAAACCGGTGAAGTTTCAATACCTCCAATGCAGACATAGCAGCAAAAAGGCTGAAGTTCTCTCCATGAATAAGCTCTCCTTCATGAAGATCTACAAACATGAAATACTACAGTGAAAAGGAGACAATACTGTTGCTTGCTGGAGGGGGAACAATAACTAATACATATAGTAAATCACTTGAGATCTGCAGATGCAGAACAGATACCACATAGACAAGGAAAATTAGAAACCAAGTCTATTTGAGATCTAGGAGAAAGAAGGCTTAGTTTGGATAATTGGGGAACTGACAATAGCCAACCATGAGATAATGTATAATTGTAATTTCTAAATTCAGTAACAGCCAGTATAAAAATAAAAGCGCTCGAGGAAAAAGATAATTAAAAAAACAAAATATGCTCCCAAGATAAAAGCATTAATAACCTCTACAATGGCCTCAGGTGACAGGATATCACAAGACCAAAGCAAGGAGTGTTAAAAAGCAACTAAAAGTTAAATGTTTTATGATCCAGTTGTGACTGACTGTCTGCTAAAGTTGATCAAAAAGGAACTTTGGCTAGTTCTATTATATAAAAAGAGTTTCTGATACTTGTCCATTAAATTGTCAGTAGCTTGATATTAGTTTCTGAGATCTTTCCCTTTGCTGATTGGTTCCTCAAATTGTTTAACTAAACTAAAAAGACCAATGAACCAACAGACGTGGAATCTTTCTTTCCACTCAACCAACTTGCCCATTATTTGTTTTTCCCTCCTAGGTAGTCTACCCAACAACTGATTTTATACCCACTACATCTCTAAAAGAACTTCTGATCATATTAGCTCCTTTCTCAGTTGCATGGGGTAGGGGTACTGGTACAGGTACGAGTACGGAACACAACAAACTTGTAAAAGGTAGGTTACAGGGACACTGCTATACAAATATATGTTACGTATATTTATGTGTAAAAAAAATATTTTACATAAGATCATATTATTTTTAAATTTACATAAGGTTAATACATAAGAAATAGATGTGAAGTGTAGGATATTTGTCCAAGAAGTGTAACACGAGCATTTTAAATTAAAACATGCATATATAAACGAGCATACGCCCGAATAAACATACGCATATATTCAAGAACTGTTCACAAAGTTTCGTGCAGGTAAGGATACGTCTCGATTATAGGTACATAGCTTCTGATGGGTACTATCCAGGTAACATGGGCTCCCTTAAATTCAAATCGAACAGAGGTTTGACCAATGTTATATTAAACGCTGGGCGTTTCTAGGCGTCGGACTTGACGCCCAGCGCTTAGTCGCCTAGGCGGGCGCCTAAGCGGTTTCTAGACTTTTTTTTAAAATTGTGATACTTGAAGATAAATATATATATATATATATATATATATATATATACAATCAAATATGCATAAATACTAAAATACCAACACTATTAACTAAATTGCTTGGTTTACCAATTACAATAGCTCTTTGTATGTTTATA